AATAATAAAATTAATATTAATTTTTATATTTTTCAAAATCAACTAATATATAAAAGTAAAGGTTATAATTACAACATTACATCATCTTATATAATTTATAATAATATAATTTAAATAAATAAATAAATATAATATCATATGATGTTCAAAAAAAAAATATAATATCATATGTGTCTCTTAAATAAAAAAACTAAACAATATATCTTATCATCCTTAAACATTCATTTGAATTATTTTTGTACTTTTTTAATGTAAAATTGATTATTGAACACTCGAAGGGCATGCTCAAATATTAATAGCATTATTTGCATCTTTGGACTTCGCTTAACTTTTAAAATAATTTTTTTTTATGGATTTAAAATAATTTTTAAACAACTGTTAAATTTTCGAATAATGCTTTTAGCTTTCGCATAAAAAATAGTAATAATACAATGCTTTTAGCATTTTTTTTCTTTAGGAGAGAATAGTAGAAATTGACTTCATGAATTTGTTATCAATACTTTTACGTCTCCTTTTAGAGGATGTTCTGTTTTTAATAGAATCGATGTTATAGAATTTTCGAAAGTGATTATTTATTTATTTATTTACTTATTATTATTATTATTATTATTATTTGTTTTGATGGTTAGCTTGGGTTACAAAGAACACAAGATAAGTAAAGCCAAATCAAGCTGAATATTCTGTGGCGGTACTGAGACTGGAGTGAGAGGTGTTCTTCACCACATCCACATGCTTCAAAAGGGTCTTCGTTACTAACGGAGGAGATAACCCTGGTTACTGCCCGTAAGGCCTGTTTGAAGGCTCGAAGTTTGGGACCATTTATGCATTGGAGGCCACCACACACGTAGGCAGATTTATGACACAGTACAAGAATATCAGCATCTCATCTTTTTGAAATGTGGCCAAGATTCATTTTGTTTTAAAACAACCACGAAGTAGGAGACCTAGAGATGAGTCTAGTCTAGGGAATAAGAAGGGGATAGAAATGAGGATTGTTTATGACAAAAAAAAAATTATAATTAATTTTTAATTAAAAATTAATAACTTAAATAACTTTTTTTTTGTTTAAAATAAAAAATTTTGAATTTGAAACACATGACATATATGACATATAGGTGAGATGAAATAAAAGATGAGAAATAATTGCTACTCATTATACAATCAAAATAATAATAATAATAATAATAAACTTTTAATTGGGAGGGTTAGCACTTTGTGTTTTATACTCGGGATTAGTTTCACATAACGTCCTTACAACTGTCAAGGCCATTTTGGACATGATCATAAACTAACATTTGAGTAAGTTACATAACATGGAATAAAAAAAAAATTAAAAGAACATATAGTGAAAAAATCTTCTAGTTTGATTCTTATTCCATTGTCCATATGAACATATATCCCAATGAAAGAAACACAAATGTATAAATTATTTTTTTTTATGTGTGTAGTTTAGACATTAGAATTATTAAAATATTCTTAATAAAACTATCTTTCATGTTATTCATAAATGATGTTTTAGTAATTTTAATAGTTTAAACTATATTAAAAAAGAGATTATTACATATCAATTTAATTTTTAAAAATACTTAAAGTTATATTCTATATATGAAAACTTAAATCTCTCTTTATTAAATGTTGATATTTAGATTTGAAGACGGATTATATCTTTTAATATAATCAATTTTTAAATTTAAATATCAATATTTAATATGATAATTTTTTAAATTTGAAATTAAATTTTAATATCAATATTTAATATAATAATTTTTTAAATTTTAAATTAAATTTTAA